TTAGCATAGCCCCAGCTTTAGGTTTAAACAAATTTGTTTAAGGAGGTTTATCCATGGGAAAAGGTTATACAAAAAGTTTATTAAGTTGGAATGATATAAAATAATGATTTATAAGCCCACAAAATATATATTTACCACTAACACGTATGATTAATAAAAAAAATTGTACACAAATTCTCATGAATATCGAAACTTTTATTTATTTAAATCTTTATTAAAAATGAGTAAAAATATTTTTATTTTTGTGTAACAATTTTTGAATTTTTGTAGAAAAAAATAAAAATTTTGCATTTGTTTCAAAAATCTTTAAATTATGGATAAATCTACAGAAATTTTTAACATATGGCTTACACACATATGTATCCTTTTATATGTGCAGACATTGTGAATATTTAATAAGAGTAAAACATATGTGTGCCTATATGCAAAGATTTTATTTTACACATTTTTAAGGAAACTGTACAGATATTTACTTATTATTATTATGTTATTATGTTGCTATAAATAATATGTATAATAGATGAAGAAAAATCTTACATATTATTTGAATAAAATATAAAAGAAATTTTAATAATTTGGTATTAAGGAAAAAATTTCTTTACATTTCCTATCTCGTTGTGGAAGTCAAAGAATAGAATACTTTCTATACACTCATTAGACATGGTAATATTTTCCTGCTGTTTAGATAAAATGTTTCTTTATTAAAATTATTACTAAAAGATCCAATAGAAAAAGTTAGTAAAAAGAAATAAAAATTGTTTATGAAAAATTAAACAAAATCAGGAAATAAGTCAAGATATTATAAATAAGTAAAACAGATACAATTTGCAATAAATTTTTAATTTATAGAAAATTTTCGATAAATTTTTATACCCACCATCAAAAAAAAGATGGGGGTATATTGTTTTGTCATTCCGTTTGTAACACATCGAAATATTGGTCATAGAGCCACAAAAGTATATATATTCTTGGTGTTTATTAAATTCTAAGACGATTTAGCCATGTCCCTCCGTCTGTCTGTTGAAAGCACGATAGAGTCCGAACGAGAAGAGCTAAGGAGCTGAAATTTTGCACAAATTTTTTTTTATTAATGCAGTTTGTTTGATGTTGAAAATGGACCATATCGGATCATGTTTTCGCATAGCCCCATACAAGTGGCCCCCCGAAAAATAGTGTTAACAGTCATAGCTGGTTTCACAACATCAGTATATCAATGAAATTCCACATAAACAAGTATTATATGAGCCAACATCTCCCTACCAAATTTTATGCGATCCGGTCCATAATTGACCCTACCCCCCATATAAGGTCCCACTCAGAAAATGACTATAACGCTCATAACTTGCTTCAAATGATGCAACGAAATTCGTCATAAACAAGTTTTAGAGGAACTCAAATCTCTCTGCCAAAATTTATGGAGATCGGCCCATAATCTGAAATTTTGAATTTATAGAAAAATTTTCAATAATTTCATTATTTATAAAAACTGTTCGATAAATGCTCTATTTATAGAAAATTTTCGATAATTTCTCTATTTATAGAAAATTTTTGGATGAATTCTTAATTAATAGAAATTTTTCGAAAAGTTCGATATTTATAGAATATATTCGATAAATTCTCTATTTATAGAAAATGTCCGACAAATTCACCATTTATGGATAATTTTCGATAAGTTCTCTATTTGTAAAAAAATGTCGATACATTCTCTATTTATAAAACATTTTCGATAAACTCGAAATATATAGAAATTTCTATAAATTTTTAATTTGGATAAATTTTTAATAAATTTTCTTTTTATAAAACATTTTCGATAAATTTTCTATTTATAGAAAATTTTCGATAACTTCGCTATTTATAGAAAATTTTCCATAAATTCTCTGTTATAGAAAATTTTCTATAAATTCTTTGTTTATAGAAAATTTTCGATAAATTTTTTGTTTATAGAAAATTTTCGATAAATTTTTTGTTTATAGAAAATTTTCGATAAATTTTTTGTTTATAATCAATTTTCGATAATTTTTTTGTTTATAGAAAATTTTCGATAAATTTTTTGTTTATAAACAATTTTCGATAAATTTTTCGTTTATAAAAAATTGTCGATAATTTCTCTTTTATAGAAAATTTTCTTTAAATAGAAATAGAAAATATCCGATAAATTCACCATTTATGGATAATTTTCGATAAGTTCTCTATTTGTATAAAAAATTTCGATAAATTCTCTACTTTTAGAAAATTTTCGATAAATTCGAAATATATAAAAATTTCGATAAATTTTTAATTTGGAGAAATTTTTAATAAATTTTCTTTTTATAAAACATTTTCGAAAAATTTTCTATTTATAGAAAATTTTCGATAAATTCTCTGTTTATAGAAAAATTTTGATAAAATCTCTGTTTATAGAAAATATTCAATAAATTCTATATTTATAGTAAATACTCGATAAATTCTCTATATATAAAAAATTTTCGATAAATTCTCTATTTATAGAAAATTTTCGATAAAGTTTCTGTTATAGAAAATTTTCTATAAATTCTCTGTTATAGAAAATTTTCCATAAATTCCCTGTTTATAGAAAATTTTCAATAAATTCTTTGTTTATAGAAAATTTTCGATAAATTCTTTGTTTATAGAAAATTTTCCATAAATTCTCTGTTTATAGAAAATTTTCAATTCTTTGTTTATAGAAAATTTTCGATAAATTCTTTGTTTATAGAAAATTTTCGAAAATTTTTTGTTTATAGAAAATTTTCGATAAAATCTTCGTTTATAGAAATTTTTTGATAATTTCTCTTTTATAAAAAACTTTCTATAAATTCTAAGATTATAGAAATTTTCGAAAAAAAAATTCTTAATTTGGGAAATTGTCAATTAATTCTTAATTTGGATAATTTTTCCACAAATCCTCTTTTTATAGAAAATTTTCGAAAATTCTATTTTTATAGAACATTTTCAACTAATTTTGTATTTATAGAAAATTTTCGAAAATTCTCACATTGAACAAAATCGATAAGTGCTCTATTTACTATAAATTCTAAAAATCTGTAAAAACTGAATGTTAAAATAAAAATCTCTTAAATTCGTCCCATAATTGTTACATGGGCCTATGAATAAGTCACATTGTGAAAATCTTTGGTGTAGGGCATCAAATAGCTGGACATGCTTAACAATAATTTTCCTTGATATTTCCTTTTATATGTATATTATCAAAATTGAGTTCATTATCCTTTCAAGCAATTGAACTGACATACTATCGAAAACTTTTTAACTTGTCGATTCATAAAGCTCTTTTTGCAAACAAAAATCCTTTTTAGCTTACAAACTTTAACATATACTTTTACTCCCCACTGTCACTCAAATGGATTTTAACACACGGTATCAGATTAAATTGAACAATCAAACAAGTATAATAAACGAAACTTTTTAAACAACACACACACACATACACGCTCATATTTGCAAATCCTCACCAAGATGTGGCAAAAGTTTTTGCTTTAAGCCAATACGAGCATAAGTTTAGAGAACAAAAGAAAAACCAAAAGTAAATGAATTTAAATTGATGTTTTTTGGTTTAATGCAAATTTTTTTTTGCAAATCTGCATACATATAAGGTAGTATTAAACTAAGGAAACCGGAAAAAAACCAAGAAAATAATCGAAAAATAAGTTTAGAATTTTACAAGGATTACAAACAAACCCATAAAAACCAAAACAGAAAATAGTAACATAAAATATAAAAAAATAAAACCCCACAAGATAGAGATGTATTACAAACAAACAAAAAAAAATGGTACAAAAATATTTTCATATTTAAATGAAATGATTTATACAAGATGATATGAAAGATTAAAGTATATGAATATATTTGGAGATATATGTATGTATAGAAATAAGGATGAAATTACTTTTTTCTACTTCTATGCATTTAAGTTTGTTAATAAACTCTCTTTAAAACATAAAACTATGTGTATATTAAAAACTAACATTTCCTGGTTTTGTTAGAGGTTAACAAAGATTGAAATTTTACAAGGAAAAATTCTAAAATTAATTTTTACTAAAAACAAATCTATTTTTAATTAAAACACAAAACTTGAGTTTTCTATTTCGACTTAAAATACTCTACAGTAAATTTTATTTAATGCAGCTTTAAAATTTATTAAAACAACAATTCTTGTGTCGATAACACAAAATGACTAATGAAAATCATTTATCTAAATCTCCTTTTTCAACTAGTCTTTTCTTCTTGGTATTTTTCTCTAAGTGGTTAAGAATATCAATGTAAAGAATAGTCTTCAACAAGACAAATGTGTACATTGAATGCAGAACATGTAATGAGAAGTATGTAGAATCTATATTGTAGATGGATAAAAACAAGAATAATAGCAAATAAATATTTAAGGATCGTATTTAAATCGTGTGTATATCTCATTAAAATATTGGTCGTAGATGCACAAAAGTACGTAGATACATATGTATATGTATTCTGGGTCGCTATTAGTTTCAAAGACGATGTATGGGCATGGCCATCTGCCTGTCTGTTTGTCCGTCCGCTGGTTCGTACGATGTAGTCATGCCCATCTATTCTCCTGTTTGTCTTTCAATACGTCTGTCTATATGACTGATATAATCAGGATTGGACTCACAATGTTTGTTTAGTACTGAAAAAAGACAATATCAGTCTACGGTTTTACTTAGCCATACACAAGTGCCCTCGGACTACAGCTTAAACAGTTATAAAAAGTTTGCACAAGTTTTAATTCAACTAGAAAATAAGGAACTGATATAGTATTTCATTGGCAACACAGTTAAAAAATATCTTACTACTAATTTAGTTGACAATATTTTCACTCACACATAAAACTAATTCTTGTTAAAGTTAATATATAACAAAAGTTTTATAAATGTGCTTGTCTCTTCACATTTTGACCTTAAATGTTCTCTTTTTTTTCTTTTCTTCCCTCTTTTCATTCGCTTTGGCAAAATAAAAACACAAACAAACAATAGATTCCAATGAAATCGACATTTTGAATGATGACAGTGACAACTATGAAAGTGGATTGTTAAGGAATTACATTATGACAAAACATATTGCTTTGTCTAGCAATTTAACACAACTACCAGCAACTGCAACAACAACAATAGTAACAACAGCAGCAGCAACAACAACGAAATTAATAATGCCCACTATAAAACCAGCTAAAGCAACAACAACTAAAATAACAAGTACAACTAGAAAACTATTATCCTTGACAACTTTAACGTCTTCAACATCCACAACATCATCATCATCCTTGTCATCTATGTCGCCCATATTAACAGCTAGTGAAGATGATGACCCAACGAGGTTGCATTTAAACAGGACTCAATTAGATGTTCTATCATCCCTTTCATTGTTAGCAACAACATCATTAAGTGATACAACAGCGCCCCTAAAAACAACAACAGAATTAAAATCATCCTCAACATCCTCATCCACAACCGCTTCCGTTTCCACATCAAATTTAACATTTCCAAATCATGCAGCATCGTCGGCGGCGTCGGCGGCGGCCACTGCCCTCAGGCATAAAGGAAATGAACAAAATATGCACAATACCAACAGCCTCTTGACAGTTGACAATGTTAATGCCACTATAGTGTCTGCCAACAGGACGACTACAACGAAACTACAACAACAACATTATCATCATCATCAGCATCAACATACTAAGGATACAGCCACAAAAATGTCATCACAGAATACAAGTTCAATTGCTAAAGGCTTTTCAAGTGTTACCAGCAGTAGTAGTAGTAGTGATAGTGGGAGTGTTCATGCCACTAGTAGTAACTCAAGTATGGGAGATCCTGTCACTGCCAATGGAAATAGTAGCAAAATTAATACAGGAACAACTAGAATTTCAGCGAGAAAAGTTGATAGCAAATATATTTTGTCCAAAGCACATAAAACGGATGCACCCATGCTTAATTATATATTTGATACATTTTCATCGGCGAATAAACATCATCACCATGACCAACGGTAAGTAATGAAGTGGTGTTTTGTTCAATTATGAATTAATTTGATTTTGCCATTGATTGGAAATAAGATATTATAGGAGGGAAAATGTTATTGGTTAAGGGAATGCATTAGATGTTGACACGAGTAACAACAAATAAAGGGTAGAGGAAATTAAATTTTACTATAATAGGAAATTTCCGAAAAATTTTTTAATAGTGAAATGTTTGACAAAATTCTAGAAAAATATAAATTTCCGAAAACTTCCTAAAAAGTGAGAATTTTCACGAAACTTTTCTATAAAAAGGGAAATTCTCCAAAATTTTTCTATGAGAAGATATATTTCCCGAAATTTATATATGAGAAGGTAAATTTCCCGAAATTTATATATGAGAAGAGAAATTTCCCAAAATTTTTCTATAAGCAGAGTAATTTTCCAAAATTTTCCTATAAGAAGAAACATTTTGCAAAAATTTTCTACAAGAAGAGGAATTTTGCGAAATTTTCTATAACAAGAGGAATTTTGCGAAAATATTCTATAAGTAGAGGAATTTTGCGAAAATGTTCTATAAGTAGAGAAATTTTACGAAAATGTTCCATAAGAAAAAAAATTTTGTATTAGAAGAGAAATTTAGCAAACATTTCCTATTTTAAGAACATTTTGCAAACATCTGCTATAAGAAGAAAAATTTTGCAAAATTTTTCTTTAAGGAGAGTAATTTTACGAAAATTTTCTATTGGAAGAGACATTTTAGTTAGTTAGTTAGTTAGTTAGTTAGTTAGTTAGTTAGTTAGTAGTTAGTTAGTTAGTTAGTTAGTTAGTTAGTTAGTTAGTTAGTTAGTTAGTTAGTTAGTAGTAGTTAGTTAGTAGTTAGTTAGTTAGTTAGTTAGTTAGTTAGTTAGTAGTTAGTTAGTTAGTTAGTTAGTTAGTTAGTTAGTTAGTTAGTTAGTTAGTTAGTTAGTTAGTAGTTAGTTAGTTAGTTAGTAGTTAGTTAGTTAGTTAGTTAGTTAGTTAGTTAGTTAGTTAGTAGTTAGTTAGTTAGTTAGTTAGTTAGTTAGTTAGTTAGTAGTTAGTTAGTTAGTTAGTTAGTTAGTTAGTTAGTTAGTTAGTTAGTTAGTTAGTTAGTTAGTTAGTTAGTTAGTTAGTTGTAGTTAGTTAGTTAGTTAGTTAGTTAGTTAGTTAGTTAGTTAGTTAGTTAGTAGTTAGTTAGTTAGTAGTTAGTTGTTAGTTCGTTAGTTAGTAGTTAGTTAGTTAGTTAGTTAGTTAGTTAGTTAGTTAGTTAGTTAGTTAGTTAGTAGTAGTTAGTCGTTGTTAGTTAGTTAGTTAGTAGTTAGTTAGTTAGTTGTAGTTAGTTAGTTAGTTAGTTAGTTAGTTAGTTAGTTAGTTAGTTAGTAGTTAGTTAGTTAGTTAGTTAGTTAGTTAGTTAGTTAGTTAGTTAGTTAGTTAGTTAGTTAGTTAGTTAGTTAGTTAGTTAGTTAGTTAGTTAGTTAGTTAGTTAGTTAGTTAGTTAGTTAGTTAGTTAGTTAGTTAGTTAGTTAGTTAGTTAGTTAGTTAGTTAGTTAGTTAGTTAGTTAGTTAGTTAGTAGTTAGTTAGTTAGTTAGTTAGTTAGTTAGTTAGTTAGTTAGTTAGTTAGTTAGTTAGTAGTTAGTTAGTTAGTTAGTTAGTTAGTTAGTTAGTTAGTTAGTTAGTTAGTTAGTTAGTTAGTTAGTTAGTTAGTTAGTTAGTTAGTTAGTTAGTAGTTAGTTAGTTAGTTAGTTAGTTAGTTAGTTAGTTAGTTAGTTAGTTAGTTAGTTAGTAGTTAGTAGTTAGTTAGTTAGTTAGTTAGTTAGTTAGTTAGTTAGTTAGTTAGTTAGTTAGTTAGTTAGTTAGTTAGTTAGTTAGTTAGTTAGTTAGTTAGTTAGTTAGTAGTTAGTTAGTTAGTTAGTTAGTTAGTTAGTTAGTTAGTTAGTTAGTTAGTTAGTTAGTTAGTTAGTTAGTTAGTTAGTTAGTTAGTTAGTTAGTTAGTTAGTTAGTTAGTTAGTTAGTTAGTTAGTTAGTTAGTTAGTTAGTTAGTTAGTTAGTTAGTTAGTTAGTTAGTTAGTTAGTAGTAGTTAGTTAGTTGTAGTTAGTTAGTTAGTTAGTTAGTTAGTTAGTTAGTAGTTAGTTAGTTAGTTAGTTAGTAGTTAGTTAGTAGTTCGTTAGTTAGTTAGTTAGTTAGTTAGTTAGTAGTTAGTTAGTTAGTTAAGTAGTTAGTTAGTAGTTAGTTAGTTAGTTAGTTAGTTAGTTAGTTAGTTAGTTAGTTAGTTAGTTAGTTAGTTAGTTAGTTAGTTAGTTAGTTTACGTTAGTTAGTTAGTTAGTTAGTTTAGTTAGTTAGTAGTTAGTTAGTTAGTTAGTTAGTTAGTTAGTTAGTTAGTTTAGTTAGTTAGTAGTAGTTCGTAGTTAGTTAGTTAGTTAGTTAGTTAGTTAGTTAGTTAGTTAGTTAGTTAGTTAGTTAGTTAGTTATAGTTAGTTAGTTAGTTAGTTAGTTAGTTAGTTAGTTAGTTAGTTAGTTAGTTAGTTAGTTAGTTAGTAGTAGTTAGTTAGTTAGTTAGTTAGTTAGTTAGTTAGTTAGTTAGTTAGTTAGTTAGTTAGTTAGTTAGTAGTTAGTTAGTTAGTTAGTTAGTTAGTTAGTTAGTTAGTTAGTTAGTTAGTTAGTAGTTAGTTAGTTAGTTAGTTAGTTAGTTAGTAGTTAGTTAGTAGTTAGTTAGTTAGTTAGTTAGTTAGTTAGTTAGTTAGTTAGTTAGTAGTTAGTTAGTTAGTTAGTTAGTTAGTTAGTTAGTTAGTTAGTTAATTAGTTAGTTAGTTAGTTAGTTAGTTAGTTTGGAAGGAGGATGTATATAATTACATCAAATCCGAAGAAATACTGCTAGGCCTCCGTCGGGCCTGTTGTGCGATCCCACCACCTCCGGTCTACCAGACTACAACACCAACCACTAACCTACTTATATATGAAGTGAAATATTTTAAAGCATTTCTATAAGAAGAGAAATTTTTTAAAAATTTTCTATAAAAAGAAAAATGAACTGAAAATTTTCAATAAGAAGAAAAATTTTGCGAAAGTTTTCTATAAGAAGGGAAATTTTATATATAAAGATATTTTCTACGAAAAGAGATATTTTTGAAAATTGTTCAATAAAAAAATTTTTTTTTCCAAAATTTTTATAAAAATATTTTAATTTTCAAAAAATTTCTTGCCGTCTAAACATAACGATTCTGTTGTTTTACTTTTGAGATCGATGTCTTCCGATGGATGAAGAAATAGCTATCAGAACTCCTTTGGACAATTTTTGCTAGGACCAATAGTTGAAAAGTTACGCTCATTTGAATAAAACCCTGTATGACCAAAATATCTAATTTTTGACCGATAGAGCTGAAAATGAACTGAGAATAGAGCTGTGTCTGTCCTGCTATTCAATATTACTAACCATGGTACAAATTTCATCCAAATAAATTTTTTGAGTTGGGTCACTTCACACACGAAATTGCCCATATGTATATTGAAAACTTTTTCCAAACAAATCAAACGAATAAAATTATCAAGGTCTACTCTTACAACTCTCAATTTGTTTACAGCATACCTTTTCCATTTCAAAGAAATTCGCTGTATACAATGTCATTGATTTTTCACATTTGCATTTTACAATATTCATGAATATTCTTCTATTCGATATTGTATCACTTTTCATCTACATTTTAATCATGCATACCTTTTAAAAACGCATAAAATTATTGCATATTTTTTTGTGCAATTTTTTTTACAACTTCAAAAATATTTTGATTAAGAAAAATAATAATAAAACATAGATTTTGTTGAAAAACACAAAAAAAAATCCCAAAAATTATTCATGCATTAATTAGAAAACAAAAAAAATATGTTTTGCCATACACTTCAATGGAAAAATAATAAAAAAAATGGAAAATATTCACATTCATTTCTCGATTCATTCATTTGTTTTTAATACAAAGTGACGGTTTAAGTATTCACTACTGTTGGTCGACTTTGTGTGTCACTGACAAATGAGGATGGAATGGATTTACCTGCATATCTTTATTTTCATAGTGGAAATAAGAAAAATGAGAAAATTCCTAAAAACTGAAAATGCGAATAACAATAAAAACAACAACGATGCCAGTGTAAAGTGAAGTAAATAAATTGACACTGATATAGGTCAGTTGTTAAGTTTACAAATGGAGCATACATGCAAACATAACTTACAGTTACATAGAATAAACATTTGCAAATACAACTATTTATGTAAATACTGAAATGTAACACAATTTTTTCCCCAATTTAGGGTTTGCATAAAATTGGGGGTTTCGAAAGAGTAATGAATAAAAAATATTTGCATATATACTTATAAAATTAGATTATTGAAATTTTCAACATTAAACAGAAAATTTATGGAATGAAAGTTTATCGAAATTTTTTCAAAATCGTGAAATTATCAAACAAATGTTGGAAATTTTCTAAAGATAAAAATTTTAAATTTTATAAAAATTTTAAATATTTTCAACTAATAAATATTTATTTTTAATAGTTTTTCACTTCAACTTTTTAGTTTCACTTTTTCTTATAATTAGAATTTAAAATTTTCTTCTGCTCTTATCTAGCAAATGAAAAGCAAACTCTATTTATGAACCAAACTATTTCATTTATTCCCTCCTTCAACCATTAACAATATTACAATATCATTTATCCATCTGTTCTAGATTTTTGTTTGGGATTTTGTCACCATTCTGCTGCAGTTACTGTATGCAGTGAATCTGAAATACTTTAAACACCTGAAGAAAATGCAAAACGAAGAAATAAATATATAGAAAAATTGGTAAATTTTTAGTAAAAGTTTTGCTAAAGAAACATTTCTACAAAAAAAGTGCTCTTGTATTTTATATTTTTAAGTATGTATGTTTAGTATTCTATAGGGTCCTTTATGCAAGGATAACAGCAACAGCATACTAACTATAATAGTGGTGGTAGTAGTAGCAAAACCAAGCACACTGCC